TGAATGCATTCTCAGGGAATACCATCATATACTTTTTCAATGTTCCACCCTTTATTTTAAAAAAAAAAAACAGATTTATTTCTTTATTTTACATGTATGTGTGCGTGTGCCTGAGTGCATGTATGTGTACCGTGTATATGCAAATGTCCACAGAGGCTAGAAGAGGGTACTGAATCCCTTGGAACTGAAGTTACAGGCAGTTGTGAACCACCTGATATGGGAACTGGGAACTGAACTCAGGTCCTCTGTAAGAGCAGTTAAGCACTTTTAACCACTGACCCATCTCTCCAGTCCTTCAATATTCCAGCTATTTCTACATATCATCTCTGGTACGTTATGGAGTGCTCATTCTTAAAATTATTGGCACAGGATACCATGGGAACTATCCGACCTTCACTTGCATGCTTTACCTGATCACATCTTAAGGTTTTCTATTCTAAATATATTGCTTCCATGTGATAATGGAAGGTAACAACAGAATTCAGTGAATGTGTAGGTAACATTGTAATAGGCTGTAAAAACATTTTCAATTATGACAGGAGCAGATACGATAGAAAAAACATATACTAAAACTCTAAGTACAAGTTCTTGTGTTTGAGGGAATTATGCAGTTCTAGCCAACTGCCTAGCCAATGGCTGAGGCATTAATACCTTTAGTATATCTAACTATTTTGATTTTATATAATTTGAATTTGCATATAATACATTTATATAAAAGAATGATTCAATATTATATACTTTATATGACTAAAGATTTGAAATATAACATTGAGTTCCTTGGCTATATAAAGTTTGGAACAAGATGACATGCTAGCATCAGCGTGGTAAAGCTCATGAAGAAGTGACAGAAACCAAATTCAAATATGGAGAAGACTGACAGAGACTAAAAGAAAGCCCAAGATTGAGTTTATTTTCTTCCTTGGGAAAATAGCCCAAACAGGCTAGGACCTGGGTTAAAGACATATATCCTTAATGTAAACCAGGGACTTGGCTAACTCTGTAAGACAAATGATATTGGGAAGTTTTACATGGTTCCCTAGGCTCTGGTGATGATATCTTGGAAAAACCATGGTGGATTCACACAGAGGTATACAGTACAGGCAAGCAATATCAGACACCTCCCTGAAGAAAACCACCAAGACAACCATGTTTCTAACCATCTTATAGTCATCAGAGGAGTCACCTGGGCTGGAAGTTACTAAGGGAAGGTAGTGGGATGCCTTGCTTTCTTGTGACCCTAATCTAGGCAATGTATTAAATGCCATTATAAAAACATAAATATCTGCTTTGAACATCTATGATGAAAGTGCTCCATTTAACAAGAATTCAGTGTAAATCTACTATATTTCACATACTATGCGAGGCAGTGGATTCAGCTGATTTAAACTCAGTCAATTCTCTGCCCTCAAGAATTTGATGGAAACAGAGGACAGCTGGCCATTTAACACATCCTTATCATACAAACATATTTATATGATAAATGTTATCTCCAGCTAACAGGTAAAGAAGAAATCTGTACACAGTGTCAAAGGAACAGAGACTAATCCAGCCCTGGGTGCGTGGGAACAGAGAATTCTCAGACATCCTGAAGGCTGGGAGAGGGTATACTGCAGGGGTCAGTTGAAGACAGAGCATGTCTCTTGGAACTGGGACAGGCCACACCAACCTGGGCAATAATGAGGAGTTCATTGAGGCTGGAGAAGCAATTGGGCCAAACCATAAGGATCTTTATCCATCAAGTCAAGGACTCTGATGTACCTGAGGCTTAGTGGCAGCTTTAAAATTTTTAACATTTTTCACCCTAATTTTACAATGTCCATTGTAGAAAATATAGAAAACATGCTATGGTGTGTGCACATACATGCACACTCACACACATACATAAATAAAATGTAAAAAAATATTAAAAGGGGGAACAGCTAAAGAAACCAGTAGATTTAAATACAATGAGCTCTCTACAGAAATATTCTCCTTTCTGTAGAAAACTCTATGCAAAGAGTATAATATTTCTTATAGTAAAAGTCATCCTCATCTGACACGGAATTATGGCAGGGAGGTAACAAGATAAGACTGACTTCCTTACAGTATGTAGCCAATGGAATATTCTGGTCTTGAGCCCTCAGCTATAAAACCACTGGGCTGAAAAAGTGCTCTGGATTCAGCGCTACACCAAGGAAAGAGTTTCACCATTCCTGCATTTTGGCATTCAACTCAACCACTCCAAACAGCTTGGAAACTTTTCTCCATACCTTCCTTCTAAAAGGCAGGAAACAGAGAAGAAAGGATACTGAGAATCCAAAAGCATGGGCAGCTGGCCTAAGGATGATGGGGCATGTGTACCACACACCACCTGTGTCCCTACCTGGCCCAGCCAGAGGAAGTGGCTGCAACTCATGCCTGCACCTTGATGACAAGAGTCGCCACCTGCAAGATGTGAGGCACATACATGGCTGATGGAGAAAAGTGAAGATAGAATTGGGGCTGGATCCTGACTTAGGCCCTGGAAGACCACTGCTGAAATTTAAGATCAACAAATGAATGAAAAATGCATTTAAAAAAAAATCAAAGTTCTTAGCTGACTTATAGGGCTGCGAATATCTGTGCCATGTGAAGCTGTATTGAAATAAGTTTAAGCCTGAACTATTTTGGTTACCTAGAGAAGATTAAATAATGAGCTACATTAATCTTCACTGTAATATTCATTCATTTTCATAATGCATGCTCTGTAATCTGAGAGTATTTTTGGCTTCTGAAAGACATAAATGATAGCTTTCTCCCAAGGCTCTGAGATGTGTCAATTCTCCAGAGATTCAATCTAAATTTCCAAGCATGAAGCCTTGATAATCACTTTGCCTAACTCTCTTCCATTTACAAAGGAAGACATGGAAGAACCAGGGAGGAAATGACCTTCCCAAGGTCATAAAGCTGAAAGCAATGACAACCTGGCATATTTGTGTCACGTCAAATCATTCTTCCAAAAAGATACTGCTTATTCCTTATTTTCAAGGAAAATAATTAAAATGCAAAATATGCCTCTTCAAGTCTTTTCCCTGACAGAACTAGCACCTTATTCTGGCCATGGAAATAGCACAGATCTGACTTCTTTACTGGAACTCATGAACTGCCTAGGAGGGACCATGACTAAATCTTTTACAGTATCATAGCAAGATCAACCTCTCATTGCTCCTGGTAGACAACTACTCTGCCCAATAATTTTATATAGTGAGTACTCTTCTTTTAAATTATTTAATAATTTCATATATCTCTATACTTATATCATTTGTATCTCTCCCTCTCTCCTCTCCAACTCTTCCCATATTCCTCAAACAATATAAATCAAAGTCTTAGGAGAGTACCTGGGAAGCAGTAACCAGAGCCTGGAAAGGTAGAATCTTCTGGGCTTGAAATAACAATCACCTTAGCTCTTCAAAAGTGTTAAATCAGTCAAGGCTTATAGGAATACATGGACACTGCGGAACTGAACCTGCGTGAAGTTCTGTTTTCCAGAATGATGAATCCAGTTGGTCACACAGAACAGTGTCAGCCTTGGCTCTATGAGTACAAGTATGCTCAAACAACAGTGTAGGTAAGAATACAGAGTCTAAAACAGAACCATAGGTATGTTAGAGCTGGTATATATACATGTGGGTAAAGAAAAGGTAATCAATAAATGCTGCCAAGACAACTGGATTTCTGACTGGGGTTAAATTAAATCCCCATCTTATAGCCACAAAACAAGTTCTAAGAACAATAAAGACATAATTATGAAAAGTAAACCTATAAATCTTTGACAATAAAGTATCAGAGAATATCTTTTTGTATACACATACACCATAAGTGAAGAAAAAAGGCACACCACAAATTGACAAGATTATTTATAATTCATAACTGAAAAAGATGACTTAAGAAAATAAAATCAGTTTCTATAAAATCACAAGGAA